CAGCTCCACCTCTCCAGTCTACAACAGTGACCCAATAATATAATTCTATACTTTGATTGTAAATTATGCATTTATGTATTTTGGTTTTTCTACCCATCTTTATAATAAGCCTATAAAACTTTAAATGATGTCTGGGGCCCAAAGCTGCAATTATGAAATCATGGTAAAAGTAAAAACAGTAGGAGTGTTATAGCAGTGTGAGTAGAAAATAAATCAAGCAAGCTAATAGACTCAGTAATGTCAGTTACACAGCACGACACCTGTTGTGATTTCCTCCATGGCACTTTTATGCCTCAAAGTCTCCTTCCACTGGAGACTGCTAAAGGATGATGTAATTAAAAGTTGTAGAAAATCCTAAATGTATTTTCAATGCCTGATAGGCCTTCAGTCCGTGCTGTCTTCAGATGGAGAGCAGCCTGAGCAACTTGACGGTGATAATAGCAGTAAGTGATCTTACATTCAATGAAACAATAAAATTGTCTGTATCAAAAATGTTTCAACATCAAGATACTATTAAATTCTCATATCTCGTGGGATTGCTGTAATAGATGAAAATAAATGTTCCTTCATTAGGGACTTTTTCAGGAGGAATAAATGTAACAATACTGGGTCCGGACTATGTGACTGTGGGAGTGCCGAGCAGCATTGAGTGTGATGCCGAGTGCCCCGGATGTGTCTACTCCATGTCTTTGGATGGGCAGATCGCTCAGGGTCAGGGTAACGTACTGGGCTTCACTGTTGACGAATGGGTGGAGGCTTTAACTGTGTCATGTAAGGTCACAGCGAAGGACGAACAGCAGACCGCCACAAAGACAAAGACACTGCAAGTGATAGGTAAGAGGTTGCTGAGGTTGTTGTTGAGGTTGTCAGTTGCATGAGATCCTTCAGGGTGTCAATGTCTCAATGTCTCAGATCTGTCTCGTTTCTTTAGATGGACCCGCCAACATTTCCATCGCAGGCTCTGACATGATGAATCCAAGCCTGAGCCACACCTACGTCTGCCGCGCCCACTGTCGGCCATCTTGTTCCTACACCTGGAGGTCAGATCATGGCCCGTGGATTGGTGGCCAAGGAAATGTGATTTCCATCATACCTCAGGAGCTGGAGAACTCCACGGTGCTCACCTGCAAAGCCACCAACACAGTGTCCGGGCTCTTTATCACTGCCACGCGAAGCATTGGTGTAATAAGTGAGTTAAGAGTTTCATGATTTACTGGTGGGTGAGCTATTACCCCATCTAAGATAAGCTAGCTATTGCCCCATGTTTCCAGTCTGTATGCTAAGATAGCTGGTCCTCATGTTTCCAGTCTGTATGCTAAGGTAGCTGTTTCCTCATGTGTCCAGTCAGTATGCTAAGCTAAGCTAGCTGTTTCCCCATGTGTCCAGTCTGTATGCTAAGCTAGCTGTTTCCCCATGTGTGCAGTCTGTATGCTAAGCTAGCTGTTTCCTCGTGTCCAGTCTGTATGCTAAGCT